TATCAAACGATTCATTCTGTATTCCCAAATAATATTGTTCTACTTCAATTACACGAATGAGAGCTTTTTTATTAACCGAAGCATCGCCTAAAAAGTACGCTTCAAAAAATGCAAGAATCATTTTATACATATGTCTAAGCTTTAACGGGAAATATTCACTGCATATGAAGTTAAGTGCATCCAGCATTGAGCTCATATTTGTAGAATATAGCGAAAATTTCATTAATGTGGTACTAGTTTGAATGATTTTTTTGATTTTTTCATACGCTATGATAAAAATGGCTTGTATCATAGTCATTTGATACTTCCAAAGGTATTTTGGTTGAATGCTATTTTTCACAAAAATGACAATTTCCGCTAATCTCTTGTAATGACCATTCCACAACACTTTGATGTCGTGCAACATTGATAAACTGCTATCTATGGTCGAAGCCTTATTCAAAATGTTATTCATTAACAAACTTTCAACTGTATAATCGTCTCTATTCATTTGGGTTTCGACAGTTTCATAATTTTTTAAATTTTCGTCGATAAGTCTGTTGATACATTTTATGATTTTTGACATATCTTTTTCGTCCAATACTCTTCTACAAAGTTTATTTAACAAAGTAATAGTGGTTCTTGTAAATGTTTCATGATTTGCTGGTGTTGGGCATTTATTGGTCATGTAATGTTCGATCTGGCCGATGATGAATCGATGAGATCGTTTGAACATATCAAATTTAGATACCAATCCGTTTATATCTACAGATCCTTGTTCGGTTAGCGGTACATTGCTATTGAGCAGATTACCGTTGCTAAAATATAGTTTCATTGCTAGAATTGAATCAATTAATTTGCGATTGGCATTGTTGTATGGCTTAGTCGCATCCAATGCTTTTAATGTAGTATTCAACGAATGATCGAGCGTTTCTCCTATCGAAACGATAGATTTTATCATAGAGTTAAAACATAATTCCAATTGCTTAGACATGTACAAGTCATTTGCATGTAACGTTACCGCTTCGCACTGTGATATGAAAAAATCGTTTAATATAAAATGAACAACGGCTACTATTGAAAAGTGACAATTGTTCTCTTTTAATGATTTCAAGATTGGGACTGCTTGCTTTAATTTAGTTTCATCATCTGCGTCAACTTCAATTTCAGAAATGTCATACTGTAAAAATCCCACCTCTTCATAATCATAATCGCACAAACTTTCATTTATCTCTCTCATTTTTTTTATGTCAGATTCCATGGCTTTTAAATCTCTTGTAAATCGTTCCAAAACTGTCGTATACTTGTTCACGGTTTCCGTCGTATATTCGGGTAAATTATCGGGAACTATTTTTTGAATTTCAAGACAACTAATTTGTGATTCAATAAATATATTATCAAACGCTTTACTGCTGTTTAAGCTAATCGCTTTTTGATATATGACTTTCCTTAATTTCACACGTAACGATCCAGGAAAATTTAAATAGTCTAAAAGATTTAAGGCATTATTCACACAAAGTTCTGTATGCGAACCAATAGTTTGTCCAGTTTCGATGGATATTTGGATTATTTTTCCAATAAAATAAAAGATTGTCAAAGCTATGCTCTGAAATATTATTGTCTGGTTTTTCGTTATGATCTCCGAACGATAGTCCGCTCCGTCTTTATTATAATACATACTTAACGGAAAACTGTTATCCAGACGCATGTATCCCAATCCACTCACTTTGGAGTCGGGGTCGAACTGAATTTTCGTAACGTTGGTTAAAAATAGGGTTTTTGCATCGAAGTCACTGTGTTTAAATTTCGTTTCTGGTAAATTAAATTCGTATAAAACTGCTTTGTCGATGTGGTTTAATTGACTACCGTCTAATGACTCCCAACAACAGTTTAGGACCGCAAACGCCTCAAACAAGTTTCGCGTATACGTCTTCATATTAAAGAACTTCATGGTGAAAATGTCTACAAATTGTTTTGGGTCGTATTTTGTAGTGAACTCAAATTTTGGGTTTTTGATAACTTTCGCATACAAATAAAACGACATTATCGCGTTCAACACATTTTTGTTGGCTAGTGCATCAAATGTATTTGAATAATTAAATATTGTCGTTAACATTTCCACCGTAGTCAATTGCATTAATGTCAATTTTACATTTATGTCATTCAAGCATTTGATAAGCTCGAATACATCACTCAGATCGTGAGCATAAGTTGATGGTAGTGCGTTTCGTATGTTCTCGCATTTGTTTAAATCATATTCCACCATCTTTATGAAATTGATTATTTCTGAAGAATACAAACAACACAAAGCCGTAAGAACCATGTCAGTTATAACTTGAAAGTTGCCTTTCCAATCATCTGGGTTCGGGCCGAACATTTTGCTAAGAGATGTGTTCTGGTTGTTTTTCCTTATGTCAACATCCTTGAGAATGTTCAAACCGGGTATTTCAGATAACTCGTTGTTGCTCGTCGTTTTGTCTTCTATTGATTTAGTGTTTGATATTTTACAAATGATAAATAATATTATTACCTGGACAATTATAGAAGACCGCATTTTGATAGAAAACTTCAATAGTTTTTTCCACTATTGGAACTGGTGTATCGAACTCGTTGAAAAAAAATGTTTCGCATAATAATACTTTGCTAAAAGCGAAAATGCTAGTTACAAGTGTTGTTTTCAATAGACTTGTTAAACAAATTATTGTTTAAACAACTTTACCCAGCACCTTTTAATATTATTGCGTTCTTTGTCGGAAAACCAGAAAACTACGTATAGTTTTACAAATAATTATATATCGTAAAAATTGAAAATGTTTGTCGTGTATAAAATATTTACATTTGACAAAATATTGTGAAACATGAGTTATTTAGTTTATAATTTTTGCACATAAAATTTAGTTTATATTATTGTGGTTAGACATATTTAATAAAGATTAAAAAAAAACATCTATTGACTAAAACACCGAAAATATAGTATATCACATGATTTAAATTTTTACATAACACTTTTTTTTACATTACATTATTTAGTCACTGATTCTCTTTCTTTGGCCATTGACTATAACAATATGAGCAGCCCTTACCGTGTATTTGCAATTGATAATTTAAACAATGTAAAACCTAGTTATATTTATGAGCTACATTAGACTTAGATCCTAAGTGATCAACTTGAGTAATACCATATAGACATACCTTTCATCAAATATAGTATTTTATGCATGGACGTTACCACATTTAACTTTTTTTAAAATAGTCGAAAAAGTTCCAAATTTATATGAATTGTTCTTCAAACATATTACTATCGATAAACATTAACAAACCAAACAAATATTACAAACCCTTTCCCCTAAAAGGGATAGAATTTTTTTTTCTTTATTTCACTTTTTCAAGCAAAGTTTTAGAGGTTTAGATCTGAAAATTAGACCGAATATTCTCAAAAATCTGTAGTCAAGTTTTTTTTTTAACAAAAATAGGGTAAATTTACACTTTGGCCGTAGTCAGTTTCTAGGTTGCTATGTATAAGTGAACCAAAAGCCAACAGGTAATGAAAATATTTTCATTCTATTGTTAATTACGATATATGGGTAACTACGACAGTACATTTTTATTGACAGACGATCAACCCTTATCGTATAACTGGCTTAAACATACTATCCACAGATTCGCATAGAAGCGTTTATTTAAAAGTTATTTTTATCACTTTTAGTTATTGTAAAATCTGTAGACCTGTGACCTCTCCGTTCCCACTATGCCCCGACCCCACTGTACTGGCTTTATTTTATATATATATATTTTTTTAGTTGCTGTTGATGTAGCTTGATCACAGTTTGACAATTATTTTAATAAATATTTTGATTTTTCTATGAGGTGTGATTTCAGACATTGGGCATCATGAAAACATTAAAATTAAAATAATAATTTCAATTCGTTTTTATTGAAACTAATATTGTATTTAAATAAATGATTAATGATATAATGTCTGAAGCACTGAATAAAAATAACTTAAATCAGAACAATTCAAATTTTTATAGAAATTTAACATAAACATTATTTATAAAAGTATAATATTTGCTTCACTCTAAAAAAAGTTAAAACTACAGTTTTTTCTTATATTTTTTAAAATTAATACATTATTTTCCTTTTTTTTAAAATTGACTTTATTTTAATATTTTCATTATTTTCATTTTGAATGATGGATTTTTACCTATCGTGATTAACTTAATAGAATATGAAAATAAAAATGAATGTATATCAATTCCTCTATTATTATTATATTATAATTTTCCAGATCTAAAAACTTAAAAGACTTGCCTCAAAACATTTTGATTTATTTCTAAATGTACAGTACGTTATTATAGCGTAGACAGCATAGACGGTAATTTTTGAACAGATTAGTATTCTAATTCTACCAATATCTAGACAGTAAATAATATACTACGTTTAAAAAAGTTTTGTTTCACATAGGTACACCATACCAGATATTAAGCCGACTGACCTCTAGACATTTCTCTCTGTTTGAAACTATTGCTTACTAAGCATGTTAAGTAAGCAACGCCGGATACTTTATTTAGAACCGTCAAACTTTTAGATAATTTTCCTAATTACTATCGTAATATGATTATTACAATAATAAATTATTAATAAGAATAATAAATAACAAAAAACAATAATAACTTATAAACACACGAAACTTGATTAGTTTAATACATCAAGAAACTTAAAACAAAACATAATAACACAATATTAATTTTGAAATAGTACAATAAAGATTGATTAATATGTATAAAGAAAGAACCCATTAACGTTTAAAACTCTAAATTTTCTAGAACGTATTTTATATATTACTATAGTATAATATTGAATGTCAGATATATGGTTTTTTTTCTTACAAGTTGCTATCTATTGAACCACAATATCTTTCATTTGTCTTAAATCCAACAAACGTAGAACATCTGACAAATCAGTCCAAATTTCCTTAACATCCAAAAAATATGCTAGTAATCGATTTATATTTTCTTTACCTTCACTGATGTCGATATTCACTTTAGATGATTCAGCCATTTCGACATCGGGTGACTCTGATGTCAGTTCTAATATATGATCTGGTATTGATAGTACTATTTCATCGACTTTGGCATCAGACGATCCTTTCCGCAATCCCAAATAATATTGTTCTACTTCAATTATACGAATAAGTGTATCATTATTAATCGAAGCTTCACCTAAGAAGTACTCATTAAAATATTCATAAATTGTTCTATACCCTAGTTTTATTCTCAACGGGATAAATGGTTTAAATAAAACACTTAGTGCGTCTAGCATTCTTTTCAAATTGTTGTAGTAAAGTGAAAAATTTTTTTTTACTGTACTAGTTTGAATAATTGTTTTCATATTCTCATAGGCTATAAAAACAATCGTTTTTATCATGATCAGTTGATATTTACAAAGGTATTTTGGGTTTATGTTATTTTTGACAAAATCAACAATTTCCGCTAATCTGATGTATTGGCCATCCCACGAAACTTTGATGTCGTGCAACATTGATAAACTGCTATCATTGATTGAAGCCTTATTCAAAATATTATTCATTAACAATCTATATACTGTATAGCCACGTCCACCCATTTGGGTATCGACAATTTCATAGATTTTCAAATTGTCTATAATGAGTCTGTTGACACATTCTATGAGTCGTCTCTTGTCTTTATCGGCCATAAGCATACCACAGTTCTCATCTAACAGAGTATTGGTGGTTTTTGTAAATTCTTCACGATTTGATGGTTTTAAGCATCTATTTACCGTGTAATGTTCGATCAGGTTTATGATGAATCGATGAGATCGTTTCAACATATCAATTTTAGAAACCACCCCGTTTATATCTACAGATCCTTGTCTGGTTAGCGGCACATTGCTATTGAGCAGATTACCGTTACTAAAATATAGTTTCATTGCTAAAATTGAATCAATTAAGTTGCGGTTGGCATTGTTGTATGGCTTAGTCGAATGCAATGTGTTTAATATAGTATTCAACGAATGATCGAGCATTTCTCCTATCGATACGATAGATTTTATCATAGAGTTAAAACATGATTCCATTTGGCTGGACATGTGCAAATTATTTGCATCCAACATTATCGTTTCGCATTGTGACAAAATAAAATCGTTTAACATAATATGAATAACGGCGACAAATGAAAACTGACAATTATTCTCTTTTAATGATTTCATGATTGGTTTTGCTTCCTCTAATTTGTCGCTACCAGGTCCGTAGCGTTCATGTTTATATTTAGAAGTATCATATTGCAAAAATCCAACCTCTTCATATTCATAATCACACAAACTTTTATTTATCTCTACAACTGCTTTTATGTCAGATTCCATGGCTTTTATATTACCTGTAAATCTTTCTAAAAGTGTGGCAAACCTGTTTACATTATTTAATTCTTTAGCCTCGGCTGAGTATTGGACTCTTTCAGTAATTTCAAAACTGTCGATTTGAGAGCCTAAAAATATTGTACTTAACGCTTTATTGTTGTTTATGTTAATTTTTCTTTCATACATCACGTTTCTCAATTTCACATGTAACAGTCCGGGAAAATTAAAATGACATAAAATATTTATGGCATTGGTTACAATAATATCTGTTGGTGAATTATGAGTTATGCCCTCCTTTTCGGATATTCTTAATATTTCTCTAATCAAATAAAAAACTGTCAAAGCTATGCTCTGGAATACTATTGTCTGGTTTTTTGTTATGTTCTCTGAACGATGATCCTCCTTTCTTACGTGTTTTATGTAATGATTATGTAGTAATTGCTGTCCAAAACCATTATCCACAGCCAAGGATCCTAAAATACTGTATTCGGAATTTGGACAAAACTGAATTTTAGAAACATTGGTCAAAAATAATGTTTCTAGATCGAAGTATTGGCGTTTAAAGTGCGTTTCTGGTAAACTGAATTCGTTGAAAATTTTGTTATCTTGACAGTCGATATTGTTTGGTTGATAGCCATCGAATTCCTTCCAAGAACAATTCCAGACTGCAAACGACTCGATCAGGTTTCGCGTGTACATCTTCATTTTAAAAAACCTTTTGGAGAATTTTTTCTCAATTTGGTTTTGTGGGTACGACGTGTCATACGCGGATTTTTGTTTATTGATACCACTTACATATAAGTAAAACGACATAATCGCGTTTAATGCATATTTGTCCGCTCGTATGTTGAACACTTTTGTATAGTTCATAGCTGTCGTTAACATTTTTAATGTAATTAACCGCCATGATTTAAATTTTAATTTAATAGAGTCCAAACATTGGATAAACACAATTACAGCATCCCATCTTTTATCAGTTTTTTTTGTCGGTAATTTGTTTCGTAAATTCTCCAATGTAGCAAAATCATTTTCTATCGTTTGCAAAAATGTCATTATTTGCGAGAAATACAAACAACACTGCGCAGTGAGAGCCATTTCGGTTATAACTCGAAAGTTGCCACCATGAACACTCCATTCGGCTGGTTTTGGCCCGAACATTTTACTAAGGGATGTGTTCTGGCCGTCTTTTCGTATCTCGACATCTTTCAGAATCACTAAACCGGGTATTTGATTTAAATAGCTATCGATCATCACTTCATCATTTGCCGATATGATAGTTGGTATAGAATAAAAAATGCACAGTATAATTACCCCGAAAATATTCGAAGACCTCATTTTGGTAGGATGTCCGTCCGTTTTTTTCTTTGTTATTTGATCTGGCAAATCGAATGCGTTGGAATAATATGATTTGTACAAACAACAACACTTTATGCCTAAAAAACGAAAATTTATGTTACTTCGTATTGTGTTTAAAATAATGATTGGTTAAAGATATTACTGTTTAAATAACTTCACCGAACACATGCCAATGTGTCATGCATTTTCTTAAAAGTTTTCCGCATAAAAAGAAGACTAAGTATTATCCTCTTTAATTAAAAATGTTAGCAGCTTTAAAATTTTAATAATTTATTTTTGTAACAATTCTCTTATAAAGTGTTAATCATGCAATTTATAGTTTTAAACCTAAAAATTCGGGGCTTATTATTGAATTTTATGGTTTTTCATACATCCTGTATATTTATAAACTTGACTGACCCACAAAAACCTGACAAATGAATTAACTTTTGATCTGGTGAATAATAATCATTCTGTATTTAAATAAAATTGTTATTTTACTAATTACTATATTGACGGTTAAGAGGTTTTCAGTATATTTTAATTAGAACTGTTTTTATTTTAAAATCGCTACATGGGAAAATGCTTGATTGTTTTACTTTAACTTTTGCTGACGTAAGATCGATTTAATATAATTTTCAGTTATTATTTTACTTATACATGTTTCTACGCCTATATACAGTGTTCAGTTATAATATTTATACTTTTATCTTAAGGGTTTTAGAAGTCAAGTTATTTTTAAATATTTTAATTTAATAACAGTGTTCTACTCGAAGATGAACACTTCATATTTGCCAGAATATAAATATACATTTAGCTAATGGACTGAAAAATTTGTTGAAAATGTATACTTACAATTTGTTTCGCTTCTTGGGCAACTAACTAGATATTCATAAGTATAGTGGGCAAAAAATTATTATTAAGTACGCAGTAAATCACTAAAGAAAATTAAGTCTACTGTGTTCAAGGTTTTTTTCTTGAATGTTTTCATAACTGTTATATTTCATCGTATGCGGCAAGCGGGTTTAGTATGTTTCTATAAAGAGTCAACACATAGTGTTATATTGACAGAAAGTCAAAGACTCATTTTATTTTTCAATGCGAGAAATTCAATTTGATTTAAATGTATACAGCTCGCTAACCATAATGCTTTATACTCTATTTTTAAGGAAAGAAAAAAAATATTCGTTGTACTTTCTTAAAACTTATCTTAATAGTTAAAATATGTTTTTTTCAACTTTCTATTGAATTTATGTTTGTAAACTATGTTATTCGGGTAACGTACAGACAAAATACAAAGAATTAAAGTATGATAATATTATTGTGACCTAAATGAGAAAACTCTAGAAAACCAATTTATTTTTAGTTCCACGACCACTGGACAAATAATGTTATGCGTATCACAAATGGTATATAAATGTATTTCATGTGTATATAATATTCCTATATGTATATGTATATTTGTAATTTACATCATACACAGTTACATTTGCAGTAGTTTTTTGTATAGTTTTTCCGAGAATTTTACTACCAAAAGCAACCTTCTAAGCTACGCATTAAACCGAATAGATGAAGCCAATTATTTTGTAAGCAAAGCTAAACAGACTGCAGTTTTCCAAATCTAAAAAACAAGTTTATTTTTATTGACAGTAGTGGTACAAGCTATATGTTTTTATGCAAATGAAAACAGTTATTTACAATAAATACATTGAACGCAATAGTGAGGTAATTTATAATAGTGAAAATATTTACTACAAATCATTAAACCACATTTTAGAGAATTTTTTGCTGGTTTCAGCTGTTTCTGAAGCTCATGAACACACACAATTGGTTAATGTTAAATGGTATTAAATAGTAAGATTTACAAAAATAAAAAAACTTAAACCACCAAAACAAACGTCATGGTTGTGTATAAACTGCACAAACCCTCCTGTATTAGGAACATTTATAATTTATGCATTTTTCTGTATTATATTAATGGTATTAATAGTATTAATAACAATAATAATAACATTCAGTTATAATAGTATAATATAAATCTTTGTCATGAAAAAAAAATAAGAAAATATAAATTTATTTTCAAACAGTACAATAAATATATCAATAAACATAACAGAATGTAAATAACATTGATAATTTTTTGTATTTTATTTAATTATAGTATTCAGTTATTGTAGTATAATATAATATATTAATAATATCTATGATAATAAATACGACATATGTGTTTTTTTCTTACAACTATTAGATCTGAACATCTTACATTAATCTTTTGTTTTAAATCCAACACAAGGAACCGAACACATTTTAATATTATTGCGTTCTTTGTCGGAAAACAACAAAATCACCCATAGTCTTACAAATAATCATACATGGTACAAATTGAAAATGTTTGTCGTATATAAAATATTTACATTTGACAAAATTTTGTCAAACATGAGATATTGAGTTTATAGTTTTGGCACCTAAAATTTAGTGTATATTATTGTGGTTAGAAATATTTAATAAAGAAAATAACATTGGTTTTTACTAATTACTAGAGTCTAGAACTATGGACTAAGGAACTAAAAATATAGTATATCACTTGATTTAAATTTTTACATGACATTATTTTAAGATCTCATTACTTAGTTATGTATAAAAGTTATACGAAAAAAAAATTTAATTTCTTATTAAACCAGGTATTAGTGTTAATTATTTGTCGAACATAACGTCTTCATTTTTATAGACAAGTATAAGTCATTGTAAGAGTTATAGATTTTTAAGACATTATAACTGAATCTAATTTAATCAAAACATTTTTGTTCATACTTCAATTAGTTCCTATGTAAAATATGTACGACGTAATCACCGGCTTTGATATGCAATGTTCCATCTTAGCAAATAAATCATATACTTTATGATGTTTTTATTAAATATTTTATCATGTTTGTTTACTTAGGAGTCGTAAAGTACTCTTTAATCATTTCAACACTCAGACTGATAATTGAGATTTATTGAATAGAATTTATAAAATAGCCACCTTTCAAGTAATATAAAAATAATATATACTTCCTGTCACAAATCCAAACATCGATAGTGATAACTCAAATGTCAATAATTTTACATTTTTTGTTCCCAAGTACACAAGTAACTTTTCGTTTTGTTGTAAAATCAATGAAACTTCTTTAACAACAATTGTCTATTTTTTAAGTCGTGACAATAATTCAGGGCTCACTAACTATCGGTGCTTATTAATCGTTTACATTAATTATACCTTCTATATCCAAAGTTCCCAATTTTTTTTTTACTTTTGGTTATTAAGTAAATTTTAATAAAAACTAGAAAACTTGTGAAAAATTACGTACTAAATGTATTTTAAAAAACGTGAAAAGTAGAACAAACGGACCTTTTTTTGATAATTTAAAATATTAAAGTATCGAATGCTATTTGACGACATCCAGTTTAAAAAGTAATATTATGTCTATCACAAAATATTATATACATTTCTTAATGAGTATATATATATTTATTATATGTATATGCGTATACTTACTATTAGAAATATACGCTTTACAAAGATACCTTTCTCGACCAAAATCATTATAAGTATATAGTTTTTCGATCAAATAAATGTCACTATAGTGCTTTGAATTTGTTTTAAAATGGTAACATACACAAATATAATAGTATATTATACAACAGTAATATACATACGTTATAATTTAATTTATCATTTAATAACTCATCAAAATAACTCAGTTTTACATTATTGGATTATATTGGAAATACGATGTACGGGTTGCCATAAAATGGTTTTTGCAAATTTCAGTTACTAAATAATGAAGTGTTACAAAATTATGATCATATTTTAATAAACAAGAAAGGCTTACGTCAAAAAGACTTGGCGAGGAAATTCTAGAAATTTGGCGCTGACAAAAACTACCTCACACGATAAATATTGTAAGGTTTAAAGTAACTTAACATATTTTTTGACCACCACCCGTCTATATAATAATGTAATGTGCACATACAAATTCTATATGTATGTATTATGATATATCATAGCTGCCTAAAAAGTTATTGTATGTGTTTTTAATGCACATACATATATATATTATACAAGCTGTCCCGACCCGGCGTTGCCCGTGTATTAGAATAGACACACAATCAGCTGATCGGATCACTGTATCCCTGTGGTATGAAAACCCATAGAGATGTATTGATACTATTGATAATCATAATTAGTCATTTTAATTAATTAAAAAATAAAAACATGTTCTATCGGATCAAATTGTGAATCTAAACCTTTCTCGAATCAACTTAATCGCGCACAAAAAATTTCATAAATATCTGTCCAGCCGTTTAGGAGGAGTTTGCATACTTGCACACGGACAGAAGACATTTTTATATAAGAGATATATATTTGCAATCAGCAATATACAAAAATGAATACAGGTGTTCAGTTTTGTGCTGAATTTGATGACTAAAATTGTATGCATAATTTAGTTACGGTTTGAATGTTGCTACAACTAGACCGTTTAGTTACAGCACAGTGATAAGATAAGTCTACAAAAATTGCTATTATAACGTCAGGACAAAAATGTATACCTGCATACCATAAAAATACAAACTGATTAAATGCGTTACAGTTGACAGAAAAATGTGTTTATTTTTCCCGCGCGAGCACCAAGTCAACGTAAGGTTTAAGATATAAGAAGAATGTCTTCAGGCTGAGATAATCTTTAAGGTTAGTCATCAACGTCAGCACAAAGACGTAAGCCTGCATACTCTAACAATTAAAATTGAAGATAGTCGCCACTGAGATACTTTCTAATTATCAATTTTATGTATTGTTTTAAAACGTTTTACTTGATTAAAAAAAAAAAATACTAATAAACCAAAAAAAATATCTTTACAAAAAGACATAGTTCAGTAAAATGATCAATATGTATACATCTGCGAGCACATGGCAAACTGTGATGACCTCAAAAGAGTAATATCAAAGGAATGTATTTGATTTTTAAACAAAATAAAATATAGTTTTATACACTTACTTTATGCATTATCGTTCTCTGTTTATCTGGCAGCTAACGGCAAGTAAAACACAAACAATGTATTGCAATAATATTTTCCGTTATAATAATCATTTTTGTTATTTTATTTAAAACGTTTTCCACGATTTCGGACATTAGCTACAAGATACCAACGTTCCATTATTATGGCATGACGATAAATGTAAAAAAAGGGTTGTTGACAACGGTGCAGTAGTCGGTTAATGCACATGAATTATATTTAATAAAATGAGTTTGTCCAACAATGGTTTTTTTTTAAATAGACATTTTTTCAGTTTTTACTTTTTTCGCGTACTTAGAACTTATAATTTGACAACACATTATGCGAACAACAAAATGTACCTCGAATACAAAACATAAAAGAGTGTTTACAATCATAAATGTAATAGAAAGTAAATAAAAAAAACTACATTTAAATATAAAACCTTTGATTCGTTTGCTACGCACCCAATCTAATAAAAGCAATCTAAATGTGTTTAAAGGATTTTTTTTTTTAGTGACGTATTTGGTGTGTTGGAAAACGTGTGTTGATATATTTTTTTTGTACCAAACAACTCGTCAAAGTATTTGGTTTGAGAACAAACAAAACACCAAACCAATTTTTAAAAAAACTGCCCCTCGTGGTCTCACATGGTTTTATCAAGGGGTCTACGTTCTGCCGGCAAAATGTACATATCTTAAAAAGCCAATGTTTTCTACAAGACTCCCGAGGTCAAAAAAAAAAAGCGCAAAAAACCTTTAACATGGGCATCATGAAATTATTTTACAGATAATTTTTTTTTCAGTTGAATATCTAAAAATTGTGTCTATAATGAGTCTAATGCCTTAAATAACGTTTCTTTTTAAATAATCCACATACTGCAAAATTTCCCATTAGTAACGTGGCGAGATATAAATGTTTGTCAAATCAATTGCCATTTGACTAATTGCGTCAAAGTTACTGCTGGTGTTCTCTTTTTAGGAGCCAGCTAGCCCTTACTTATCTAATCCAAATCTAACCTAAACCCAACTGATCTCTTATCAGTTGTCCCGTAAAGCATCACTGATAAGCTGTTAGTCTTATCATCTGCCTCTAGTAAGGAGCCATTGTCCATAGACTCAAATAAGAAACTCGATTGTTAAATGTAGTACGTTGACAAGAAAGTTCAACTACACATATTTTCCGCAATGTTAATCGTGGGCTCAGAGAATTTTATCAATACTTCGTTGTACATATACAGAGCCCACGACCAAGATGGCTGATGTTTGGCGTCACCTATTATCAACATTTAGCAATCTAGTTTATATATCTGTGCCGTTATCAGCTATCTCTCTCCAGCATCCGTAATCGTCTGTTTCTTATCACTTTTGGGAAAGCGGTGACAAAACCCTTTTTCCCCGGTTTTCCTCGGCCCGCGCAAGGGGCAATGATGAACGTGTGGGAGGAGAGGGTGAGAACAGGAGTTGTCGTCGAGTCACGGTGATAATAAATGGACCGGCGACTGCGGTCCGTCGGCCGCTATTAGCTCGATTGCCGATTTCCCGTCGCCGCCAAGGCAAACGATATTTCTATTATTATTATTGTTTTTCCACATGTGGCAGCGCTCGTACAATACGTAGGATAATAATAATGTCGTTCGGATACGGAGGGGGGGGGGTGGGGCGAGCTAGGGTGGGAATAATAGACAAAAAAAAATATATGATACACGGTGTTCTTATAAAAAAAAAAAAAAAATGAAAAAAATACCGTCGTAAAACGACTCCGGCGAGGCCGATGAGGGATTCTGTGTGTGATATGGAACGGCGGCGGCAGCGGTGATACGGGATGCGCGCGCACTGACGTTTTTCCTCCCTGCCGAACAGGGGGATAAAGGGATACGGGACAGCCGCCGACGGCGTTGCGAGAGTAGTGTTTCCAGATCGCTAACGTCGTGACGTCGTCGCCCGAACACGAACGCCAGTGTTTCCGACCACAATATTTCTAGAAAAAAAAATAATAAGAATTTAATAAGAATTCATTTTTTTTTTTTTGTTCCCATCCAGACGTCGGCCGCCTATCGACGGGCGCGTTTATTTTGTAATTTTTTTTTTGTTCGCTGTCTTCCGCCACTCCGCGTCACGTCGGCGCCATTCTGGATCGGGCAAACGTTTGTTTCGAGTAGAAAAATACGGTTGTAAAATAAAATAAAAATTGCTTAAAAAACAGTTTGCGCTCCTCAACTTCGGTCCGGCCAAACGGCGGCAGCAGCGATACGGTAAGTACGCGCAAGACTAACCCATACGTGGGCCCGCAGAAATCCTGCGGGACCGGCTGTGCCCCGGAGATTGACTGCGGTCATCCCGAGGGACGGTAGCGACCATAGTGGCTTTAATAGCTGTTGTAATGTATTTTAGAGACTTGACCGTCGGTCGTTTGCCTGTCGACTATGCCGGGCAGTCCCTGTCGGTTTTATTTTTTATCAATCCCGTCGTGTAATCAACAGGTGACGGATATCGATTTTCATCGTCCGCCGCCGCCGCCCTTAGAAACAACGAGGGTTTTTTCCCGAGACTAATCGCGAACGGCTCGCCACGACAACCGGATGAGTCAATCTTTATCGAAAGTTTATTTATTTTTCACGGAAAAACGTCCACAGGAAAGTTGTTATCTACATTTGGGCGTGACAAACAGCGGAATCGAACAGTTATTGTATTCAAAGATATTCTTTTGTCCGGTGGTTGCTCCGAACCCTTCGATTTCGATAAAACCGCTCCAGTGTAATAATTATTTTTGCCGAAAAATCCCAAGACTCCGCGACGGGGTTGGACTGTCATCTCTGACATGTTTTGCAAGTGTTTGTTTGGTTTTGGATTCACGCAATTAGTCGCGAACCGGCGAATAATAATTATTTAAAAAGGCACCGTCAAAATCTAGCTTGCGTTCCCCGGAGAAATACTGTTCGGAGTTTACTTTACTTACTAAGCACAATAATTATTGAGATGAGGGCCTTTTATTTCGAATGACGTTCTATCCAATTAGACGTCGAGCTTACATTTAGCAGGAGAAACCCATTTGCCAAACAAACTGCTCGGCCGAATCGTCATCATGCCTCCATGCGACTAATGAGCATCGCGCTTTTGTTGTTTTTGTCCCTTATGTGTACAATTCGGCCGTCCTGGCCAGTTTTGCAAATTAGTAGATGCGTTCGAAAAAAACACACTTAAAAAAAGTTGTTCGTCTTGATTATTCATTTCACGGATATTTCTAGTTGTATGGATTTAAATTGATCATAATCCGTTGTACTATTCACTATTTTAGCTGGTAAATGGTTGAATCAATGAAATTGTCAAGCGTCGCTGCTTTTTTTTAAATGCCTTCCGTCCCCGGCCACCCCTTTAAGTGATTCAAAATAGATTTTACCGGTTTGATTGATGTTCGGCAGCCATTCGCCGTACACGTCATAATATTATACCGTGGACGTTTTAAGACAAGAGTATAATATGCGTGGGTCGCCGAATTAACCGTTCCCCCCCCCCCACTGCTGTCGAATAACCCCAAAGATTCGGACCGATAATTTTCAAAATGGAAAGGTCTCTTGTGCATCGCCGCATTATAATACTTAACCGTTGTCCAGCCGACGGCCTCGACGACATACCGCACAATAGCCGTCCGATAAAATGGTACAAAAAAGGTATAACAGAAAAATTGTCCACGGACAATGCGCGTTCGTGACATAAAAAATGCCTACACGGAGCGCCGTCTGATTTAAAGAAAAAAAATAGTTTAACGTTAAAAGCACCATGCACCTCTAAGTATGACAATAGTTTGAGCTTGAAAATTAATTTTTAGTATTAGATTCGATACGGTTAGGATTTGTTGCCGTTGCTTTCCATATTATATTATCATGGTAACAACGTTATAAAACTATTTTGCACATACCCGTTGACTGTTGACATAAAAAATGCGAAAAATAAAAAATCCACTTACGACAAAACCTAGTTGAATAGCTAAACAACTAAGCCAATAAAGTAGTAAATTTTTACATAATTATGTCAAATAAACCGACCGCTTTCTCTTTAATCCCTTTTTACACGTCGACGTTTTCCTGTCCTAGTGCTTGTTTTCTTTTATATCTACAAATATATATAAAAAAAACAGTTTTATATTTTAAAATACACACGGGTGATTCATTAATGATAAGACACTCATTTTCTCTTAAAACAATTCCCGGTCAACATTTTCAGCCAATTTTTCTTAATTAAAAACTTTAATGTCGTTAGAGCTTTGGAAAATACTAAACAAGGCCAATATTTAGTAATATAAAATATTTAAAATAATATTTTCAACTGCAAACTCATTTTTTTTAGAAAAATTTAGTGTCCTTTTCTTGAGGTATCACCCCGATCGCATGTTTTAACCAATCTAAATCGCACGGTGAACGTTAAAATTCCCGTGCAACAATAATTACCAGATTAATCACATTATTATTTTTAAATAAATGCGGTGCATCAATATTTACTTCGAGCAAACATTCTAGGTAGACAAACTAATAATAGTCTAAGTAGATAATTACATGGGGTTTTGCCATTCATATTAAACTTTTCTACCGCCCAAGTTCCAACGACTTTCGAGGGGTGACCGAAATTATTGTCAGTTTACTAAACGTCATACGCCATGGTGTAGTGCGTGCTTTTAGTTTACCAAACACGGTTAACTTACAAAGTCATAATCATCTGGAACGGACAGCTCGAACAACAGCTATGCTGGCTAGCGGCTATGAAAATACACTTTAATAATAATTTATGTATTTACTAAACGAAAAACATCACAAAGAGAACATGTGTAATAAAGGTACACACAACGTACAATAGGAATACTATTATTTAGCAAATTAAACCATTATTGTTGTTTGTCAATAAAATATTATATATTGTTAAAAACGTGTATCGCTAAAAGTCATGGAAATGAACAAAAATAATTAACGAGTGATTTAAGCGCTATTCTGTTATGTAAAAAAAAAAACGAACTGAGTTTAATTATTTTTTTTTAAATTATCATTATTCAACTCTCTTTACTCGAATAAATTGTAAAATAATTGCATCGCAATCAAACGTGTGCGATTGAACATTTTTTATGCCGACTTTTATGGAGCTACAATCAATTTATATACAATACAAATGGAATATTGTTTTGTTTCTTTTGGCATTCGTATAAATATATTTTTTTTATTTCCGGGGATAACAATAAAAAATGCTATAATATGTTTTTTATGTTATTATTAAAATACCTTATTTTTGTTTTTCGTTTTGTAAAATGAATTGTTCGTTTATTGGAATTCTTAACGGGGCATGGTTGATTATTATTTTAAACATTTATTTGCGCTTATTTTTGGGGGCAATTTCGACTGGTCACTAACCACACCAATGCGCCTGTATTGGATAGGTTACTCATGTGTTTGGAGCCAGTCAGACCGGCCGGGGCATCAACGTTTCGTTGATTAAAAAATAATATTATAACACGTATAAAGAAAATGTACAGCCGAAAGGGTTGTTAATTAACGTGAAAACCTCCGGGAGATCATGTTCACCGGCCGTTCGTCAGAGTGACACTCGAGTTGCACGCCCTGGGCGTTGGACGGCACGAATAAAAATATATAATATTATATCAAATAAAAGTACCACCGTTGTCGCCGTTCGTGACACAACTCTGCGAGCACACTTAGGAAATAATACTAATAATATATTTAATAGAACTCGACTAACGCGACATGACGTGCACAATTCGAGGGTGTACTATAGCGTTAGTTGTCATTGCCAGTGTTGTGTGTGTGTGTGTGTAACCCTTTTTCGGTTGCTAATTTACGGGCCCGACGGGTTAAGCTAGCACGAGGATAGCGATAAATAGATGAAAAATGTATTACCAAACCAAGCTCAGTAAAAACCCTGATGATGTTCAGGGTCCCGTGAAGTTTAACGTATCGGGATTAAAATAAATAACCCGTTTCCGGTCATAATTTACCGGGTTTTAGTATATTATGGCCAATATAGCTGCTAATCTGCCGTCCATGAACAATATTACGTATAGTATAAAATGTTTGTAAAAAGCGTCTAGGTATTTAAAACATAAAAAAAACTTTATCCATAACCTAACCTAACCTATCGACAACAAAGATCTTCAGGACCTCTCCATTTAACGACGATTACCGTGATGGTGATAAGAATGTTGAAAAAGAAAGGAATGGGAAATAAAATTAAAAGTATTTCCGTCAGCAATTATTTTATAATCCAATTATTATTATCAATTGAGATTCTTTGTTTGAGGCAATGAAAAAAATAACTAAAAAAACATCTAGATATAAGCTAATTACAAATTTAATCTCAATGATAAATAAATAAATTACATTTTTACCTACATAAAATGTATAGTTTAAAAGAAATAAACCTATTTTATAAGTACAAATTGAATAAAATACCCTAATTAAAAATATTAACTAATATAATTGACATAACGCTTTGTAAAAAAAAATATCGTAAGAGAAAAATTAACAAATATTATATTATAATAACGTCAAATGACAATAAAAAAATAAAATTTGATTATTTAGATAATATTTAAGTAGTGTTAAAGAAACAAAGATGTTGTTATCTCTTATAACAAATTCCACATAACACAACGTGTATAGAAATCAAATAAAATTTTCATACAACAAAAAATATACAGACAACATAAAAAAATGTTATAAATTAACAATCACTATAATACATAATATTATAACGTCATGAAATGCTAATGAATTTAACAAATTTAGAACACATAGATATGTTAAACAATTTTTAAAAATTTTGTTTTACATTATAACAACTATCATACAACACTAAATATAGTAACAACATATACAAATGTACTAAATCAACTAATATTTAATATAATATAAATTTTTTATCTAGATAATTCCCCAAACTGTACATTAGTTTTAATACCAAAGTCATAAAAATTAAAATGGTACTTGGATGTTCACACTGAATTGTGTTTATAAATGGTTATAGAGTAATTGATTAATTGAAAAAAAAAATGTACAAAAATAGGATAACACTGTTTCTTGGGTTATTAATTTTGTCCGGGACAAAAACGTTTTGGACTTTTGTGCGTTATAAATGGCCGACGTCAAAGAATATAATGCTCAAAGCGTTTTTTTTATTTATTTTCCATCGTTAAACGAGTAATCGCCTACTATAATACACTTATTGTCGCAGGCTGATCGATTATTATATTTTG